AGAGGGCTGGAGTGATTACTTTTCTGCAGACCTGGAGACACCTTCAGGGGATGGTGGCTGATGCAGGGACAGGTGTTGCAAATGTTGGTCCACTGACTGCTGCCTTTGTGTGGTGGGATGGCAGCAGCATGTCCTTGAACACCCCACTCCATGAGAACCATCTTCCTGTGGATGCTGGGTTTGGTGGGACTTTGGGAACAATGACTAACCCACATTGCCTCAGACTGTGCTGTGGTGACAGCCTCTCTCCATGGGACAAACAGGGTAATGACTTCTTTTATGGGGGATGGCTGGGCTCATCAGGACCCTCAGGTCTGTGACACCTCATCCTTCTCTCTGGGATACCCCTCTTTGGGACCAGAGAGGGGACTCCTGAGCTTTGCTGGAGCCCCAGGGCTGTGACAACCTCCACCTTTGGGGAAACAGGGCTTGGTGGGACCCTCAGGGCCATGGGACTCCAGCACTCCTGCCAACCCTGTCCCCTCAATAGATGTGGTCACCCTGTCCCTGAAAGGGATGCAGGTCCGTAGCATGAGGGTTCCCCCTTCTGTCCCAGGCAAGCGCCCTCCCAGTGCCAACTGCTTCAGTCATCCTTGGTGTGCCTGTCCTTCCTGCAACTTCCTCAGCTCCCTGCTGAGTCAATGCCATTCCAAGATACTCAAGAGGCAGCTTGTCCAGCTGCCACCCAAAGACCCATTCCCTGGGTAGCCTGTTTTTCAGTTTGCTGGCATTTGCTTTCACTTTGGTTTGTGTCCCCAAAGAGAATCCATCATTGTCTGAAATCACTCTGCAGCACCTGGACTTCCTACCTGCTCCTTTCCCTGCACCTCCTAAACCCCAACACCCACATCCTTCTCTATCTTGTTGCCAAGATTTCCCTTCTGGAAACAGGATTAGTAAAAGTAGGAAAGATTAAATTATCTAAATTACCTAAATTACCTTTTGAGATCACAACAATCTCAAAATACTCTGCTTCCCTGATGTCATTCCATAACATCATTCCCTTTGGCTAGAAATTGGCTAGAAATTTGGCTAGAAAAGATTTTTTTTTTTTAATTTTTTTTTTTTTCATTTTAATGTTTATTACTATTTAGATAGGAGGAAATGTGAACTGTTGAAAGTTTTAGTCATAATTATGATTCATAGAATCATAAAATGACTTGGGTAGGAAGGGAGCCATCTAGTCCACCCCCACTTCCACTAGACCAGGTTGCTCAAAGGCTCATCCATCGTGGCCTTGAATGCTTTCAGGATTGGGACATCCACAGCTTCTGTTGGCAACCTGTTCCAATGCCTCACCACCTTCACAGTAAAGAACTTCTTCCTAATGTCTAATCTAGACCTACTCTGTTTTAGTTTAAAGGCCTCACCCTTGACAATATTACAAGGTATCATCACATCTCCACTGTAAGGATACAAGACAAGGATACAATATCATAGCTGCTGAATTGTTAAAGTCTACTACTGGCAAATTTTCAGATGACACCAAGTTGGAGTGGAGTGTTGATCTGCTGGAGCATAGTAGGGCTCTGCAGAAGGACCTGGACAGGCTGGATGGATGAACCAAATCTGCTGGTGACAGCAGCTGAACATGAGCCAGCAGTGCCCAGGTGGCCAAGAAGGCCAATGGTATCTTGGCCTGTACCAGCAATAGTGTGGCCAGCAGGAGCAGGGTAGGGATTGTCTGTCCCCCTGTACTTGCCATTGGTGAAGCTGTGCCTCAAATCCTGTGTTCAGTTCTGGGCCCCTCATTTTAGGAAGGACGCTGAGGTGCTGGAGCATGTCCACAGAAGATCAAACAGGGCTGGTGAAGGGTCTGGAGCATGAGTGCTATGCGAAGCTGAGGGAGCTGAGGTTGTTCAGGAGACTCAGGGGAGACCTCATCCCTCTCAACAATTCCCTGAAGGGAGAGTGTAGCCAAATGAGTGTTGGGCTCTTCTCCGAGGCAACCAGTGACAGGATAAGATGACACAGTCTTACGCTGTGCCAGGGGAGGTTTAGTTTATGAAGGGAGGATATTAGGAGGCATTTCTTCCCAGAAAGGGTGATTTGGCATCAAAATGGGCTGCCCAGGGATATGGGGGAGTCACCATCCATGGAAGTGTTTAAGGAAAGACTGGGTATGGCAGTTAGTACTATTGTCTAGTGGACAAAGTGGTGTTTATTTATAGGTTGGAGTCGATCTCAAAGGTCTATTCCAACCTAGTCAATTCTGTGATTCTCTGAAGATGGGAGTAGAAAAGATAGTTATCAGGGACCATACCTGCAACCGATGTGCAAAGACATTCAAATTAATTACTGGACAGTAGAATACTCCATAGCATCCTGCTATTGGTAAAGATCCATCATAAGGAAACAAGGTCAACATAGTTTTAGAAAAAGAAGCTAACATAACATGAACATAGGACATTTCAGAAAAGAAAATGGGTGTCAGTACACAAGTGCTAAATACAGTTTTTCTGTACAAGGAAGATTTGATCCAGGGATGTTTTTCATGTTATTGTCTTGTTCTGTGCTAAATGACAGCTTGTCATTTCAAAAACAAGACACTTTCCTTAAAACGTATCTCATTGATTTTACTATGAATTTCTTATCTCCTTACTCTATGCCTTTATTCTTAACTATTTTTCTTGCTCTGTATCACCATTCACATGTCAACAGAGCACATTACTCCTCATCCCTGCCATTTGCTATATGCCTTTACCAAAAGCACTGTAAACTTAGAGGCTTCTTTTGATACTGGTTATGCAGTGAAAGCGTATAGGAATCTCAGATTGCAAATATATCATGACACAAAATAGTCCAGAGCAAACTACTTGAACATGTTTATTATCAGTGTGGGTTACTGAAGGACATAGCATGTTTTGTTTGTTTTCAGGTTTTTTTCTTTAAAACATGGTAGTTTTGCACCTGAAATTAATCATATTTTAAGTTCCAGTTCTGAATTCTCACTGTTCACTGTTGCAAGAACAGATAATTCATGTATTGCATTTATCCTAGCTTTGGCTGGGATTTTATTCCCAGCATCTAGTGCTGTGTTTTGTCCTGCTGCTAAGTATATATAATGATGCCTTAGAAAGGCAATTCAGAGGCTTGTCCAAGAACACAGGCAAATGTAGTGTGAGAGAAAAAAATAATGTCTTACTGCACTCATGCTCCCTCTTTAACCCTTCTTATGATTCAGGTCTGGTTGTTTAAATTAACAATATTTAGTAGAGACCATGCTTGTAAGTAAGATTTCCTAAAGAAATTGGGGAAAGAATTATTTTTGAAAAATGCCATAAAAGAACAGTGGATAAAGAAAATATCTAATATTACTAGCACAGTAATATTAATAATATCTAATATTGATAACACAGTGCCCAGGGGTTCAAATTACAACAGTAAAGCATATAATTACATATTGTTCCTCATGTCCAACAGAAATGACATTATATAAGTATATAATATAAGAAAATGTACTGTAGGGAGCACATGAAAATCATCAAGCTTCAAGGAACAATCATTTCTAGCAAGTGAATGATTTCTTAGTAGTTTTAGTCTGCAACTTACTGTTTAGTTTTTGTTTTCAAAAAAGAAAAATGTATGAAGTGTGGCCATTGTCTCCTGTAGTAATAAGATATGCTCAAAAAGATGTGCAAGAAGTGTTTATAGCATAAATGCAGTTCCTTATGGAAAATGCAGTCTGGCATCACTCTTGCTATGGATTTTGCATTATAGAGGCATCTCAGTAATACTGCTGGATAATGGTAGCTTGTGGCTTCTCTGAATAGATTATTAATTTTATTTCCTGCTTGAAGTTTTCCATCCATATACTGCAATAAAAATGTTGGAGCAATAATGTCAACCTACTTGAGGAAAACTTATTGTCATCATGTTTTTTCACAACTCACACTGCATATATTTATGAGACTGAAAAGAAGGTGAGAGCTGCTACAAAATGCAAGCTCTTGAGAAGGTCTTAGTCATAATTTTCCTAAAGGAATTTTCTTTTTCAGTGCATAGATAACCAATAGCAATGAAAATTCAGTGCAATTCAGCCCTAGAGTTCTTATATTACCAGAGTTAATATTTTACTTAAGAACCACTAGTTATGATATTATTACCATAATAATGGCAATTTGTTACTCATTCTGTGTTTCATAACAATAACAAGGAATTCTCACCTTGGCTAATATACGATGAGACTACTTGAGATGGATAAACTTTACCTGGCTGGTATGATAATTCATATTTGGAACATCAGAGCTGAATAGTGTTGTTCAGAGAGCTGATAGCTCTGAACTATTTGTTAGGTATAGCTCTGCTTCCTCAAGGACAAAATTGTGCATGTGTGCATTCTGAAGAGCCAGATACACCAACACAGACACAGAGACTTACACAGTTACCATGAACAGCAAATCAAGTTGACATAGACAGAGCAATGCCTTTACTAGCACCCAAGTATCCATAACCACCCCCTTCATGAACATGAACACAGTCCAGTCCTTTTCTGCCTTTCCAGGTGATCTGGGTTGGATCTTTTCTTAGTGAAACATGAACACATCTTCACTCCCTATATTAATAAGCACAGCATGGTCCCCAAATAACAGTATAGAAATTAATTGAAATTTATCCATGTACTGTTTGTGGCTGGATGTCAAGTTCCTTCCCCAGTCCTCAGTGCAAAGCTTGGGTCTTTCTACAAACCATGTCTCCTTGGTCATAAAAGTCACTTCTTCCCCAGTGCACTCCACACACACAAACACAGAAGGATCCCACCAGATGGCAGCCTAAGACATTATGGACCTCCAACTGCTGTTTCTTAGATCTGTAGGTCCCCCGTTGCTCTGTCACCTGTGTTCCCTTCTTCTGCTTCACCCCTGCCCTCCTCTCTGACCAAGCACAGTTTCAGTCTTTAGACGGACTCTTTTCTATTGTGCCTGATGTCTGTCCTCAGCCTAATTTTGCGCATACCAGGTGTGGAAATCTTTGCCTTGTATGGGAGACTGAAAACACCATTAAGAGTGAAATCAGGAAACTTTATTTCCACAGCTAAATTCAGATTCAGGATTTGTGTGCACACAGAGGAGAAGCATGATCAGGATAGAGCAGGCCTTAGGCACTGAGGCTGCCTTTGGATCAACAGGTGTTGCCCCAGAAGAAAATGATCATGGTTCACTGCAGCCTGCACTGGATCCTATTCATCCTTCTTCTCTTGCCAGTGTTCTCCTTGGGACCTGAAGGAGCTCATGCACCTGAGTAAAAAATTCAACCAGTTTCTGCATTGAAAATGGGGAGGAGTTAAACTCGTCCAATGCTGGTGGTGTTTGCCTTGGCTTCTGAGGGGGGTTTATGGCAGGCATAGAATGTCTTGATGCCCTTTTGTCTAGCTGCGGGTCTATCTGGACCAGGATCCAGTCATAGAAGTGCTGAACAGAGGTGTAGACTCCAGGCTGGTTTGCTCTCTCACAACCTTTTCCCCAGCTGGTCACACCAACAAGCCAGAAGAAGGCAGCATTGTTATCTTTGCACACCAAAGGAGCACCAATGTCAGCCTGCATTGGAACAAGAGGGGAATAAGGTAATGTTGGGTGGCTTCTGTCAGCACTAGAGCTATATCCTTCTCCTTCACAGCCCATGACAGAGCTGTATTCTTGGTAGAGAAGGTCTCAGCTCAGGTGCTGGAGCCTCCAGAACTTTGGCTGGGTGCAGGTCAGGGGCTTGTATGGCAGGACTGTCTCTCATCTCTGCACAGTGATCCTGGATGTGCAAAGGATGGATATTCCAGGGTTGACATCTGGACCTCTAGACTGCCAAGAGCACTAGATGTGCTTTCTGGGTGTAATGCCAGGCCTCTGGGACAATAGGGGCACTGGGCAAGGACCTGCAAATGGGGAAGGGGAGGGAAGCCTTAAGAGTGGTGGGCAGCCGGGGCTGGGAGGGTGACTGGCCAGGCAAAGCAGGCCCTGGGCTGTGTTGGGGTGGTGCTGCTCAGGCTGCCTGCACTGCTGGGGGCTGAGTGGCTTGTCTCACACTCCTACCTGGCAGGGGTCAATGCCACCCTCTGGGTAACCAGCACAGAGGTTTTGAGTGTGGATGGCCCCTGTGTACCAGAGGCTGCTGTTACAGAGCTGGGCACCAATGAGGTGGACCTTGGCCTCCTGCAGGACATCGCTTGCCCTTTGAGCTGTGAGCACAGAAAGAAATGAGCATACAGCAGTTTCTTGGCCATTCCTCTCCCCTGTTGGGGGGTGAAGCTCTTCCCTAGGGCTTCCCTGGGGTTCCCTAGGCAAATACCATGTTGCTCTGCTTTTCCCCTTCTATCTGGCTTTGGTGAATGGTCCAGGACTGCCTCTCCAGAGGCAGACAGCCTTCAGTCTGACTCTGGCTTTGGCCTCTGCTGTTGGGAAGCCCAGCCCATCTCCCTGGTGTGCCAAGTTTGCCCTCAGAGCACGTGTCCTTTTTGGAAACTCACCTCTTGTAGTGGTAGAACCCCAGCCAGCAATGTAACAGGTTTTCAGCTCTGACACTTTCAGTGTGGTGTTGGGCACACAGCCCAGCTGTACGTAGCGGCTGCATACGATGGGCTGGTCCAGTTTCAGCAAAGCAATGTCATTCATCTGCTCACCAGGAGTATAGTGTTCATGAACCCGTACCTGCTGAATCTGGCGCACTTGCACCTCAGGGCCCAACTGAGTCAACCGGGTGGCCCCAGTCACCACGTGCCACATGTTGCTGTTCCTAAGAAACATGTGGAGAAAGAGGTGAGAGGGAGCAGAGCCATGTGCTGCAGCAGCACAAGAGTTCCCTGTCCTCTGCTTTCAAGTCAGAGGAGAAAGCAGTACATATGACAGTCCTAAGTCACGCCTAAACATGACTTATGCTCTGATAATGTTCATCTAAGGCTTCTAGGAAGCAGTGGCAAGAGCGCAGAATGTTCTGAGTAGTCTCTCAGCTGCGGTCTGCAATGCCCAGGTATTGCGCATATTGCAGGGAAACAGAATGGGAGTAGCCATGGTGCCGCCAGCAGGGTACCTGCCGGTGTTGTGGAGATATACCTGTTCTCTGCTGCTCCCTACCTGGCATTGATGAAGCAGTGGGCAGCTGTAACGACCCACTCTGTGCTGATGAGGGACCCTCCACAGATATGCCCTGTGCCTGGTTCCTGGGGATCCTGGATGCTGACAATCCCGGCCCAGGCTCCTGGCTGGACAGCTGTGCCACTGACAGTGTGCAGTTTGCTATGGTCTGGAGCCACGGGGTCATAGTCATAAGCCATGGGGCCATGGAAAGCAGACATGGGCCAGAGACCACAGATCCCTCTGTAAACAGAAAGTCATTGCTTGATGGCTTGCTGCTGCCCAAGTTGAAGGAGTGAACTTCCCTCCCCATATAGCATTATTTGCATGGACAGCAGAGCCAGGGAATCCCATGAAGCATGTGTCCGTCCAACCCTATTTCTGCTTGAGGCTCATGGACAAGTTGTGCAGCAGCCTGGGTACTGTCAAGGAACTGAAGTTCCTGCATGGGGCTCACAAAACTGTAGTGTGGACAGAGGGGACAGGGAAAACCCCTCAAATGTTGTTCAAACTGCCTCCAAGAGCCTGAGGCCACTTACCCACAGGTGTGCCATGTGCTGAGCACAGACCTGCACATGGCCAGCAGGACAAGGAGGCACAGCAAATTCATCACATGCTAATTCATACATGCCAGTGGCATGTATCAGCTGTGAGGAGTGGAGGGCTCATTCAGTGCAGCCGCCAACTATTGCCTGCAGTACCTTTGGCCCCAGGGCTGATGTCACAGAGCAGCTGGTTCAGTGTTTTGGGCACAGTGGCTGTAGAGGATGGGCAACATAGAGTCATAGAGTCATAGAATCATAGACTGGTTTGGGTTGGAAGGAACTTTAAAGATTATCTGGTTCCAACTCCCCTGCCTGCCTGAATACCTTACTCCAGAGCAGGATGCTTAAAACCCCATCCTGTCTGGCCTTGAACACTTACAGGGACAGAACAGCTTCTTTTGACAGCCTGTGCCAGTGCCTCAACACCCATGAAAGTTACATGCAGGAGGAGAGGCAGAAGCTGGAGCTAGACATTCCTGATAGGCCCTGGTGAATGCTCTGCTGGCAGGATGAGGGTGTGCAGGCCTTGTGGCAGGCAGCAGCATTTGGCTTCCAGCACTGCCTGCTATAAGCTCAGAGGAACATACCCCATCGGGCATCACAGCCTCTTTGGAAAGTTCACTGACACCTTGCTCTCTGTATCAGTTTGCCACCAGAGCCTTCCCAAAAAACATTCAACAGAGAGCAGTATGCATGTGTTTGGGTGCTGAGGATCCTATCCAGTTACAGCTGTGTTGGATAAGCAACCTGCACAAAGCACAGTGAAACACAGATGCAGCACAGTCCATGCTGGCCATGCCAGCTACAGTAACACCATCTGGCAGACTCCACATCCTTTCTGTCTATGGCTGCTATTGCTGTTCTGGGCCCGCACTGACAAGGACAGTTTTGGCACCTGGGGTGTGTAGCCATGGACATGCAATTTGAAGTTGTAGACAGGGAAGGATGGTCCTGCTCTCAGCCTCACATGCCAATCTCCATGGCTTTGGTAAATCCCATACCAGTCTCACCTACCCATCTGGCTGAGAGTGCAGGTACTGCTGGAGTGCTGGACAGTCACAGTAGAGAAGTGACAGTTAATTGTATTTGTGCAGACATGGTTATTTTGTATTAGCAGTGGTTGCTTATATAAGTCAAAATTCTATATAGGCTGTGTGTCAAAGAGCTAAAGAGAAAAGCTTTATATAACTTCAGTAATGATTTAGTGCTGTGACAAAATAGTTGACATTTACTTACACGAACTAATGTGTACTTATTCTTTGCTGTTTCCTGTTGTTATGTATGACTGCAGCAGTCAGCAGTATGCCAAGATGCACTCTGCTAAGTACATAAATTGGCGTTGGAAATGAAGGACACGTCCTTTCTGTTTTAAATACAAAGAGAGAGAGAAAAAAAAAAGTCTACCTGCTGCAATCCATTCCAGCTGAGCAGGCACCTTAATTAGGTGTTTACAGATGCATGTTTTGGAAGTAAAACTGTTAATTACAGATTAAAACAAGCAGGAGTAAGGAGCCATCAATTCTTCCAAAAGAAGAAGAAGAAAAAAAGAGGATTTATAAGTAACACAGGCTTTGCTCTGTTCTCATTCTTAATGCTGTATTTGGCATAAAAATATGCAAATATTGCTGCTGGAATTGGTTTTTTTCTGGAAGTACCCATGGAAAATGCATTGTTTCCTGTTTTGTATTTTGGACTCAGACCTATATGAAAATTCCATAGTAATGCTACAAAACAAATACCCGTGGAGTATGATGAAAATGAATTCATTTTCATTGGCATATCAAAAGTGCAGCACTACGAAATACCAATTTCCTTGGATTTGACCTGTGACATTGACAGTGCCTAGGTTGCTTATGTTTTTGGTTTGTCTAATATTGGTCTCAAATCTAAAAGGTTTTTGTGAGAATAATTATGACCAAGTTTACTGGTTTTCTAAAATTTCTGTACTTATTCTCAGCACATTCATTGCATGAATGACTTTAAAGATGATACAAGTCTACTTATTTACAATCAGAAGAACTCTTTAGTAAGTTTTGAAGCAACAAAAAAAGTAGAAATCACTTTCAGAGTGATTTCTTACACTCATTTGTAAGAAAGCAGCAAGTAAAATGTTCAATTTGTGCATTACATCTAGACAAACCCTAAGTTATACAAAGTGCTATTCTAGTTTGAAAATTGAATGTAAAGGATAACCATATGTTTTCATAGTTGCTAGCCAATCAACCATATTAAGTTCAATAATGTTGGCTACTGTTCTTATATACATTTGCTCTTAGAGTGCTTGGTTGTGAAATCCTGCCACAGCAAACAAACTGTATTTAATAGGCTCTCCTTGTGAGGCTTCATTAAGTTTTCTTTAGTTGATTCTTCTCCATTCAGCCCCTGCCCTCCCATAGCAATTATCAGAACTCCAAAAGAAAAGGCAAATACTTCCCAAGTGAAATATATATAGATATAGATATAGATATAGATATAGATATAGATATAGATATATATAGAAAGAAAGAAAGAAAGAAAGAAAGAAAGAAAGAAAGAAAGAAAGAAAGAAAGAAAGAAAGAAAGAAAGAAAGAAAGAAAGAAAGAAAGAAAGA